CCATTCCTATTCATTTCTCTATATCTTGCTAAAATTGTGTCTTAGTTGCCTCTTCTCCAAGGAATAATACATTTCCATCAGTTATTTGGTTAAATGGATCCTGTTGGATTGTGGCCCAGTTATTCTCAAACAGGTTTGCAGCCTTTGCTATGTTAACCAGCCCTTAAATATTGACACACAACATGAGAATCCACAATGTCTGAGAGACAGGCCTCTGTAAAGTGTGAAATATAATTCCTAACTGCGGTTTATTTCTACTTGTTTGTTATATTTCCAACACGATGGATGATAAGTGTAGGCCAGTATCATGGATTTGATAGTGACTTCAGTAAAGGTGCATCCAATTTCATTCGAGGAGTATCAAAATGGTGATTTCTGTGGGAGTGAGGATAAAATATGGGTGGAGGGGAGAAAATGAAGAATATAGGAGGATATACAAAGGGAATGGTAGGGCAATTAATGTAGGCCGGGGAAGATGGGATCTGGAGAGGTCCAGTTTTAAGTTACTGCATATCTGCAGATCTGATCATATTGACTGCAAAGGACATAGATAAATACCAGCAAGGAGAATGCAAAAGGCTTCCCATAAGAAAAAGATACCTTGGCCAAACTGTGTGGAGACTCGTGGATTGATCCTGAATTGGACCACTGCAACATAAAGGCCTTGATCTTAAAGAGGTGACAAATTCTGAAAGAAGGCAACAATGTAACATGTTGGCTGTGTGAAATGCAGAGGGACAGAAATTGATTCAGCGTGTGTGAGTTATACTGGGATAATGGGGGCAAAGTATGAAATATGGAGAGCAGTACAGACAGACAATTAGAAATAATTTGAGAAAGGGAGAAATAAAGAATGAGCTGGAGATAGAGAAGGAGGTAAGAGGGAGAGGCATTAGGCATTGTAAAGCAGCAGAAAGTTTCTGTTTCTGCTCTGAGAACAACTTCAGCCCTTAGTCCATATCTCACGAAAACATATCTCATGGCAAGTTTTGCAATATGACCTGTTAGATCGTGTTGAGAAATAAGTTCAGTGGTGTTTACTGCATTCCAAAACTGAGCATGCTTTAACAATTAATTCATTGCATTAAAATTCCCAAAGTTGCCACTCGATAAGATGAGTAAATATTTTTAACAAGTTTATTTTCCCCGGGAAGCTGCTGAGATGTTTCTGTGACTAAGAGCGGGGCAGATCTGGCTTCTTGCTGAGTGACTTTGGTTTGAATGTATTCTGGCTCTTTGAAAAATATATCTTAAATTCTCTCTCCCCCAAGATGAAATTTCTTTTTGCAAACTATGACATGACGAGAAATCCTTCAACACAATATTCCCACTGCAAGGAACAGACTGAGGCCTGTATGTAGAAGCATTTCCCCCTGTCCGTGACCAAGGACAAAGACTCAGCAGGCAGGCAAGATTTAGGCAGTGACAGACATTATTCAAGCAACAACCAGTTAATGCAGGAAGACGGCCAAAGATCTTTCCTGAATCTGGCCTTGACATGAGAACCCAGTCTTTCTCTTAATCTGCAGCTCAGATTGGAAGAGAGATCAATGACACACTCCGAATCTTACAGCGAAAGATGGCATTTTTATACATTTTGTGTTACAATAATCATACACAGTGTGGTCACTGTGTCCTTCCCCCTTATTCCATACACCCAATATTGTGATCCACTGAGTCAACGATGGGCACTCCTATGGACAGCCCTGTGTTCCCATAATTTCATGGTGTTTAACAGACATTGTAGTCTCCAAGCCTTGGGATCTTTCTATGCATCCTATTAATTTGCATTCCAATGGTTATACTCCTTCCTGCTTGTCTTGCTTATCTCTAAGAACTGCTTGAATTCTGTTATTCATTGTAATCTATGTGCTATCTCATTTAAATTCTATTATTCCTTTTATATTTTCCACTGTCCCAAATTACGGTAGCTCAGTGGTTATCACTGCTGCCTCCACAGCACCAGGGATCCAGGTTCAATTCCACTCTCCGGCGACTGTCTGTGTGGAGTTTGTATCCCTGTGTCTGCGTGGGTTTCCTCCGGGTGCTCCAGTTTCCTCCCACAGTCCAAAGATGTGCAGGTTAGGTGGATTGGCCATGCTAAATTGTCTGCAGTGTTCAGAGATGTGTAGATTAGATGGATTTATAGGGGGATGGGTCTGGGTGGGATTCTCTGAGGGTCAGTGTGGACTTGTTGGTTCAAAGACCCTGTTTCCACACTGTAGGGATTCTTATAAAAAAATACAAAAGACAGTTGGTTTTAACTAACTGCTATATATTTCTGTTGTAAAGTTAGTTATAAAGTATAAATTTATATACCTACTTCTACTGTTAGTACTTTGTAACAATCTATTTCATTCAGGGCGTACCAGGCATCTTTTTAGAGAAAAGGAAAGCATTTCCTGAGATTAACTTTCACATATAGAATTAAATGTTTTCCCCCTAGTGCTTCTACTGTACTTTGGTTATACCTGTATCCATACTTACGCTGAAATCTATCTCTATAATTATCTGAAGAATCTTTAACTATTACCTATTTCTTAATATTGTGAATAACTTCAAAGAAACAACTAATTACTTAACTTCAACCTTTTTTCTGAAGAAGGGTCTAGGCCCGAAACTTCAGCCTTCCTGCTCCTCTGATGCTGCTTGGCCTGCTGTGTTCATCCAGCTCTACACCTTGTTATCTCACTTAACTTCAGCCATTGTTTTCACAGCTGCTAAATGAGTTAGGCTGACTAGTTCATGGACTGAGATTTACACACATTGTTCCAAGTAGTGCTGTGCACCTATCATTTCATTAATGAGGCTGAAATCAATCACTTGTTTATCCTTAGGCATCTTCTTATCAAACTGTTTCAGATGGTTGCTTGTAGGGTTTCCCATTCATCTTGGAGAAGCCCTGTTCAAAGGTACAACTTTGTTTCACTTAAATGCTGGAGCAGGCTGTTTCGTTCCACTTATTCCTTGTCGGCCATTTTATGTCTTAATGCTGGAGCAGGTTGTTTCATTCTGTTTAAACTTTGTCAGCAATTTTGTGTCTTTCAAACATGGGCCACATTTACACTGTCTCACATGTTTCACCTGAATGGTTGCTACACATGACTTGTTCTGGTTTTGTCATCTAGGATTTAATTTCCTGGTGCAGGCACCTTTTGAGTTTACAGTCCCCTACATTTTGCAGTTACATTATGGGTTTATTGGCCCTCAGAAACATGTACTCACAAGCAGGCATGCTTACCTGGATACCCCAAAACCCTGCTGCTCACGCAAATACATGCAGAGACAGACACATTTCATTTACCTACATGCAGATAGACAACACAATCACATTTACACAGACTCAAAAATGTATACAATATACACACATGCACTTTTATAGAATCACAACCATAAACACACACAGAGAGACATATGCACACACTCACACAGACCTACACATGCAGACATACCACGCAAAGACAGGCAAATAACACACAGTAAAATAGATGGACAGAACAGAAATAGAGAGACAAGATGCACACATGGCGAGACCAATGACAGAGACAGCCACAGACACATACACATACCTAAATACAAATATATCCAAAGATACAAAAAGATTTACAAACACTCAAAAATGTATACAATATACACACATGCACTTTTATAGAATCACACCATAAACACACACAGAGAGTGTTGGAGAGTTTAAGCTACAGTGAGAAGCTGAATAGGCTGGGTCTATTTTCTCTGGAATGTCGGAGGCTGTGGAATAACCCTATAGAAATTTATAAAACCATCAGGGGCATGGATAGGGTGAATTTTCCCAGGCTGGTGGAGTCCAAAACTAGAGGGAATAGGTTTAAGGTTGAGAGGGGAAAGATTTAGAAGGACATAAGGGGCAACGTTTTCATGCAGAGGGTGGTTTGTGTATGGAATGCGCTGCCAGAGGAAGTGTTGCAGGCTGGTACAATTACAAATGCAAGGTGTTGCATTTTGGTACAGCATATCAGGGCAGGACTTATACACTTAATGGTGGGCCCCTGGGGAATGTTGGTGAACAAAGAGACATTGGAGTGCAGGTTTGTAGTTCCTTGAAGGTGGAATCACAGGCAGACAGGGCCGTGAAGAAGGCATTTGGCGCATTTGCCTTTATTAGTTAGTGCACTGAGTTTGTTGAAAGCATTGGGATATCATGTTGCATCTGTCCAGGACATTGGTTAAAACAATTTTAGAGCACTGCATTCAGTATTGGTCTCACTGTGTTGAAAGTATGTTGTTGAACTTGAAAGGGTTCAGAAAAGATTTACAAGGATGCTGCTAGGATTGGAGGGTTTGAGCTACAGGGAGAGGCTGAATAGACTGGGGCATCGGAGGCTGATGGTGAATAGCCAAAGTCTTTTTCCCAGGATGTTGGACTCCAAAACTAGAGGTCATAGGTTTAAGGTGAGAGGGGAAAGATGCAAAAGGGAATTGAGGGGCAACTTTTTCATGCAGAGAGTGGAACATGCATGGAATGAGCTGCCAAAAGGCTGGTAAAATTACAACATTTAAAATGGGACTGGATTAATTTATAATATCTCAATGGCATTGGATGAGTTGAACCAAAGGATCTGTTTCTGTGCTGTACATCTCCATAACTCTATCCCAGTGCATGATGAGTCATCTATGCAGAACTTGGCATTAGCAAGTGAATTTAGACCTGTACTCTGCAACCTTCTCAGCAAATAAATCCCTCACTGGACCCTTACTTCCAAGGCAGGAGAGAAACCCTCACTCACTGAGGAATGTGACACCGTTTTGGCACCAGACTTAATTGTCACATGATTTGTCAGTCGGATAAAAGCACATTACGGGGCTACATATTTGCTATATTATGCAATCCAGAGCCCACGGATCGGGTCACTATCTATAATCCTGCCGTGCTCGTGGGGATTTATCGTGGTCTATTAACTAATAAATGGGAGTAAAACACTCAAAACAAACATTGCCAAGGTGAATGATAGGTGAGGCTACAACATTTAGTAAATGAGACATCGACAAATGTTGTCGATGATCTTCAGAGGTGTAGCTGAAGGAAGTTGAAGTGTTAAGCATTATGTTTAAAAAACAAAAACTTGCAACCTAGTCACTTAAACTCATGTCTAGTTTTATGCCAAAAACAAAACTTTGATCTCAATCGTGCAAACGTTCCAAATGAGACAAACTGCCAGTCAAGTTACCTTAATGCAGAAGGGAAACGCCTCATCATGGTAGCATGCAGCTGTAGAGGCAGCCCCATCTTTTCGGGAGTATAAATGTAGCAAGATGCAAGCAGTCTCCAAGCAATGCAGCAAACATCCAACTCTGCTCGTGATTTATCGAGGAGCTTGGTGTATGATGAAGAATACATTGAGTTTGATTCTTTTAATGATGACGACTATGTCCTGCATTTTTCAACAAAGCATTGGCATTGGCGTTGGCATTACGGATTTTTATTATCGAGGTTTGTCAGTCTACCAAATCACTCAGTTGCCTCGATTTATTGGATGTTGTGTTAAAGATGTGCCCCATTATCTCTGAGTGTCACGACTTGATTGTTCGAATTGAATTGATTATTTTTCGAGATGAAATGTCAACCAGTTCCAGAATAAATCCCTAATTCTTTAGTCAATACCCGGGTGGTGAGACGTAATGCTGCGTTTTGCAAACTGACCCAGCCTCAGCAGGAATGAAATAATCAATAACTGTACAGCAGTATCGATTTGAAATCTGTCTTTCAGCACTTTGACTGCTTATGGAGTTCCATTAATCACTTTAGCACACAGATACTGCAGGAAAAAAAATCACAGTACACGAGCGTTTTTTCGTAACATGAGCAAAAGCAATGACAAGGAAATTGTTTCAGACATGTGCGTTTAATTTTATTAGTATAATAAAAAATTGACTGGCCATGCAAAATTGTCCATAATGACCAGGAATGTGCAGACGAGGTGGATTAGCCGTGGGAAATGCAGTATTACAAGGTAGGTGCTAGGTCTGGGTGGGTCGGTGTGAACTCGATGGGCCGAATGGACGGCTTCCACACTTCAGGGATTCTCTGATTCTGTGGCTGGCAGCTGTATGAAGCTAATGTGTGACAAGGGGCTAAATAATAAAAGAAATTGTTAAAACAAAAGGTAAGTTCTCAGTAGCTGTCTGCCTCAGTGAGAGGCTGGGTGGGCAAACTGTTGATTTTTTTATATATACATACCAGACTGGTGTTGCACTGCTGGAAGTGCTCAAATGGGTTACTTCGCATGCCTGGAACCTCCCCGTGAGCTGATTTTCCAAGACCCGCTTCAGGTAATACGGTACTGACCATTCGGCAGCACCTCCTGGTCTCTGAACCTCTTTGGAACATTGCATTTAAAGGAAATGGTTCAACATAAATATCTGAGCAGACTTCAGTTTGAGATCGTGTGTATTGGCGTCATTTCTGGCGGGAGAAATCTTGGATTCCACTCAGGGTAAAGCGTGCGAGGGTGAAGGGGAGGACTCTAGGACGGAGTTAGTGCAATCCTTACGATTTAACGGTCATGAGCAGTTCAATGTGAGCACAAAGTTACCGAAAGTCTCTGCTTCATTGCTCTCCCTCCCTCTGAGCACAGCACTCCCACTGAATACATTTTCTGCTTGGATTTTAGGTTTGTGCGCGTTTGTTAGGGGAAGATGTCGTGGTGACGGCTACAGGACAAATGAAGAGCGTTTAATAACACGTTGCCGTCATGGGATCCCATGTTGCATTCCGAAATAGAGAAAAAAAATACCGCGAGTTCCGCAAGTTCTGTCCGAATTACATTATCCCTCCTGCAGAAGGTGCTTTGCATGATTGTTGAGTTCCCGCAGTTCCTGCCCCTGACTGACTGCTCTCACATACACTGCACACAAGCATAAATAAAATTTATTGCTTTTGTGACTGTTTTGTGCCACTTTCTTGCCTCTCTTTACGATGTAGCAAACCAGGGTTATAGGAATAGAAATCCACCTACTATCTCACCACATCCTTTTGTCCTTGCCCACATTATACTTCATACATAGATGAATTAATAATTGTTAGCTCTTACGATATATATGAAAGCTAATTGTGAGTGTGTGAAGTGGAGGCGCCGGTTTTGCACTGGGGTGGGCAAGGCCACAAATCATACTACACTGGGTTATAGTCCAACAGGTTTATTTGAAAACACAAGCTTGCAGAGCCTCGCTCTTACTTCAGGTGTTAGTGAGAGACGTGGCATTAGACACAGAATTTATAAGCAAAAGATCAAAGAGTCGTAGAACTGATGTGAATGTATTGAACAAACCTAAGGGCGGTTAAATCTTTAAACAGTTAGAATGGAGAGGCAGGTTTCAATTGATTAAAATGCAAATCCCAGAATTTCTTTCAAGTCACTGCCCCGAGATAACTATAGGTTTTATTAGTAAATGAGAGGTGACACTTCAGGTCAGACAATGCATTTTAGGTGTGAGGCCTTGCTTAGAATCTGTCTGTGTTTTAACTTGGAGTCGGACTGATTTTATTTCCAAAGTAGGAATTTACAAATGCCACATTGACTGTCTTTCCTCAAATTCTGTGTTTTTTGAACAAAGTTTTGAATGTATCTGTAATTACAAGCCTGCAAATGCAAATTTATGTGTATGTATGAAGGAGGGAGAGAGAGAGACTGTGTGTGTGTGTGTGTGTGTGTGTATAAAATGTGGTCACCTGTAGTGTGACATGAACACAAGATCCTGGTTGAGGCTGTCTTCATTGGTACCGAACTTGGCTATCAGCCTCTGCTCGGCGACTCTGTTGTTGTGTATCCTGAAGTCTGCCTTGGAGGACATTGACTCTCAGATCTTTGGGTAAATGTCTTTGACCACTGAAGTGTTGTCCCACTTGGAGGTAACGTCCCTTTCTGGCGATTGTTGTGCGGTGTCCATTCATCTGCTGTCACAGCATCTGCATGGTCTCACCAATATACCATGCCTCGGGGCATTCCTGCCTGCAGCGTATGAGATAGACAACATTGGCCGAGTCACATGTGGTGGGTGGAGTCCCCACGTGTGATGGTAGTGTCCATGTCGATGATCTGACATGTCTTGCAGAGACTGCCATGCCAGGGTTGTATAGTGTTGTGGTCGATGTTGTCCTGAAGGCTGGGTGGTTTGCTGCAAACAATGGTCTGTTTAACATTTGGCAGTTGTTTGTAGGTGAGAAGTGGAGACGTAGGGAAGACCTTGGCAAGGTACTCATTGTGATCAATGATGTGTTGAAGGCTGCAAAGAACATGGTGTAGTTTCTCCACTCCCGGGAAGTACTGGATGACAAAGGGCTCCCTATCAGTCATATCCCATGTCTGTCTTCTGAGGATGTCATGACATTTTCCACCGTGGCACATTGGAACTGGCAATTGATTGAGTTGAGCATCATATCCCGTTCTTATGAGGGTATCCATTGTGTTCCTCCTCATCTGAACAGATCCTGTGTATGCCTAGGGCTTGTCTATACAGGATGGCTTTTCTAATATGATTAGGCTGGAAGCTAGGGAAATGCAGCATTGTGAGGTTATCTGTAGGCTTGTGGTAGTGTGAGGTACTGAGGTGTCCATCCCTGATGGAGACGTGTGTGGCCAAGAATGAGACTGATTCTAAAGAATAGTCTACGATCAGTCTGGTGGGATGAAACTTGTTGATCTCACTATGTTGTTGTTTCAGTGATTCCTTGCCATGAGTCCAAAGGAAGAAAATATCGTCAATGTACCTGATGCGTAACGTTAATGGGAGGTTCTGTGCAGCAAAGAAGTCTTATTCGAACCTGTGCACAAAAATGTTGGCACAACGGGGAGCAAGTCTGGTTCCTGGCTGTTCCATGTGTCTGGATGAAGAACTGGTTGTCGAAGGTGAAGGTGTGGTCAAGGATGAAGCAGATGAGTTGTAGGATGGCGTCTGGAAATTGGCAATTGGTGGTATTGAGTACTGATGCTGTTGCAGTGATGCTGTCATAATGGGGGTTGTGGGTGTAGAAACATCCATTGTGATGAGGAATGTTCCTTGTTCAATTGGTGTGTGGGTGCTGAGTTTCTGTAAGAAATCTGCAGTGTCGTGACAGAAGCTGGGGTTCCCAATATAATAGGCTTCAAGATGCCCACGACATAGCCAGAGAGGTTTTGCACAGGGTCCCATTGCCTGATACAATTGAATGTCCAGGTGTGTTGGCTTTGTGTATCTTTAGAAGGCAGTGGGAGTCGCCTACGTGGGAAAATGAAAACAAGAGACAGACAATTAACAGTCTAACACCTGGGTGCCATTAAAGTGAGAATACTGCTGAAGCTTTCAGGATCACCTGTTAAACATGTCCCATACAATGATGTTATCATGAAGGTTCCTAAATTGTCTGCTATGTGAATGAATTTATCATGTCTATAAGATATAAGTGATGTCATGATCCTGCTGATAAACAGTGACGATCCAAGGGCTATTGAGGCACAAAGAGGGCTTGCAGTGCGTGTCTCCGAGGGACAGAAAAGCCCCGTTTGATCTGTTGTGTTTCTAGGAGGGTATATCAGCGAAAGGGCGCAACATTTGGTATCAGAGATAGTGGGAACTGTCGATGCTGGAGAATATTTGGTATCACGTTGGTATGAATGTTAAAGCCATGTATGTGAAAATACAATACTGAGTGACAGACTGCTTGATGTGTATTATGTGTTTATTTACCAAATGACAGTCATAGAACTATCATTCCAGACAAGGGCCATGCGGCCCTTGCTACCTACACCAATTCGATTAGCGAGTGCCAATCTGTGTTTTCCCCCATACTCCTGCACACCATTTCTATCCAAATAATCATCCAACGCCCTCTGCAATGCCTCAATGTTAGAAAAAGACTTGTTTTCCATGACTGCATGTTTGAGATGGGGCCATTTGTGACAGAGAGGGATGGATTGTATGAGAAGGAGCTGATATACAGAAGGGCACTTTTTGGTGTGGGGTAGGTATAAGATAGTCGATGACTTTGTGGAAATGTTCATGCTAAGTGTGGCTGAGTGAGTATTTGAGTGCATGGGAAAGAATGCTGTTAGAGAAACAAAGTCAAAGGAACAACAATATTTTGAAAGGTAGAGTGTGTCAGCCTGCGTCTGACAGGGTGGTACATCTGTAGCAGAGACAGGTAGTTCAATAAAACAAATATCATAGAGTCAGAGAGATATACAGCACAAAATCAGACCCCTCACTCCAACTCATCTATGCCCTCAATCAGATATCCTATATAACCTTGTTCCATTTACCAGCATTTGGTCCACATCCCTCTAAACCCCTCCTATTTATATACCCATCGAGATGTCTTTCAATTGTTGTAATCGTACCCGCCTCCACCCTTATGTTCCTTTTACATCTTTCTTCTCTGACCTTAAATGTATGCCTCTAGTTTTGGACTCCCCCAACCTGGGAAAAAGAACTAACCTATTTACCCTATCCATACCCCTCATGATTTTATAAACCTCTATCATGTCACCCCTCAGCGTCTGATGCTCCAGGGAAAATAGCCCCAGCCTATTCAGCCTATCCCTGTAGCTCAAACCCTCCAACCCTGGCAACATCCTCGTCAATCTTTTCTGAACCCTTTCTAGTTTCACAAAATCCTTCCCATAGGACGGAAACCAGAATTGTATGCAGTATTCCAAAAGTGGCCTAACCAAGATCCTATACAGCTGCAACATGACCTCCCAACTCCTATACTCAATGCTCTGACCAGTAAAGGCATGCATACCAAACGCCTTCTTCACGATCCTATCTACCTGAGACTCCACTTTCAAGAAACTGTGACCCTGCACTCCAAGGTCTCTTTGTTCAGCAACACCCCCAGGATCTTAACATTAAGTATACAAATCCTACCCTGATTTGCCTTTCCAAAATGCAGCACCTCACATTTATCTAAATTAAACTCCATCTGCCACTCCTTGGCCCATTGGTCCATCTGATCAAAAACCTATCGTACTCTGGGGTAACTTTCTTCGCTTTCCACTACATCTCATAATTTGGTGTCATCTGCAAACTTACTGACCATATCTCCTATGTTCACACCCAAATCATTTGCATAAATGTCAAAATGCAGTGGACCCATCGCTGATCTTTATGGCACACTGTTGGTCACAGGCCTCCAGTCTGGAAAGCAACCCTCCACCACCACCCCATGTCTTCTACCTTCAAACCAGTTCTGTGTCCAAAAGGCTAATTTGACCTCTATTCCATGTGATCTAACCTTGTTAACCAGTCTACCATGAGGAAATTATCAAACGCCTTAAAGAAGTCCATATAGGTCATGTCCACCGCTCTGCCCTCATCAATGCTCTTCTTACTTCTTCAAAAATCTCTATCAAGAACTTTCAAAAGCCGAAGTTTGCACAATTTCCTGTGCACAAAACCATGTTGACTATCCCCAATGAGTCCTTGCTTTTCCAAATAGAGATAAATCCTGTTCCTCAGGATTCCCTCCAACAACTTGCCGACCACCAACGACAGGCTGACCTGTCTATAGTTCCCTGGATTTTCCTTATCACCTTTCTTAAATAGTGGCATCACATTAGCCAACCACCAGTCTTCAGGCACCTCAGCTTGGCTATTAATTACACAGAATCTCAACACAGGAGCTCAGCAATCTGTTCCCTTGATTCCCAAAGAATTCTAGGATGCATCTGATCAGGTCTCGGGGATTTATCCAGGTATATGTGTTTTAAATTGTGCAGCACCACCACCTCTGTAATATGGACATTTTTAAAGATGTCGCCATTCATTTCCCCATGATCTATATCTTCCATATCCTTCTCCATAGTAAACAGTCTGATACACTGATCCATGAAGTCATCGACTATCTTATACCTATCCCACACCAAAAAGTGTGCAACTTATTTTGCACAGTAAACGATGCTCATTTAGT